CCCCTTGGAGACCCCCTCCGTTCTGCTGCCGCGGGAGTGCCACTGCCCGGGTACCCCCTGGGGTATGGGGTCACCTGCACCCCAACTCGGCCCCCCAGCGGCAGGGAAAGTGCCGGGGATAAATAATGCTCATTGTTTTCCCCTAATGAATATTACCGAGGTGGCAGGCCGGCAGCTGCGGGCTCCGGCCGGAGGAGCGGGGACATCGCCGGCCTCTCTCCGCCCGGGGACACCCCAGCTCCAACCTGCCGAAGGTCCCCGCATCAAAGGGCAAAGCACGGAGGTGGCCGGCGCCTTCTCCACCGCTGCCTGCCACCACCCTGGGTGTCACAGCGGTCCCTGGGCAGAGCTGGCCGGGAGCCTGGAAGTGTTCCCCACGGAGATCCCCGCTTGTCCTCGCCTTCCCTCGTGTCCTCACGCAGGGGCTGGGGAGAGGGATGGGTGAGTGCTGGGACAGAAGCTGCCACAGCGCCAGGGATGCTTGGGGCAGCCCAGCCCCACGGAGCTGCAGGGTGACCCCAGTCTCTGTCCCCAACCCGTAGCAGTGTCCCCTGCCTTAGGCATCACCCCTGGAGCCCAGGGACCGTGTCAGAGACTCTCAGGCCCAAACCCTGAGCAGGGACCAACAGTGCAGGGATCTATGACTGGACGTTGCTTCCCACAGAGTCTCATTCCCTCCCTGGGAGGTTTTGCCCACCCTGAAGAGGCATGAAGGTGTCCCAGGGCTTGGGAATAGCCACATCCTCACAGCCCCTTCCCCATGGGCCAGAGCCAGGGGGATGCCCAGCTCCTGCCACAGCCATGTGCCTTCCTCGGAAAGGCTCCTCTGCATCCCAACACATCCCTGCCAACGCTAGCAGCAATAAACCCACTTCCTACGAGTGTGAAAAACAAAAGAAAGCCAGCATTTAATAAAAAGAAAAAAGAGCAGCAGCAACTGAAGGCCCCTGAGCTGGGTTGCAGCCATTGCCTGGGACTGGCCACTCTTCGGGAAGCAGGAACCATCCGAGGGAAGCCCCTGTTGCTGCTGCTCCGGGTGTTCCGGCATTGTTTTAGCCCCGGACCTTTTAACTTGTTTTAATTCCTAACACTTCCCCCCACCCTTTCCACACCCCCCTTTTTTTTTTAAGTATCTTTCCCAAATCTCAGCTGAGTTAATGAAGTTATGTGATCCTATAAATGTTAATTGTCTAAACTTTTCTTCTCTCCCCCGTTTTTTTCGGTGCTTTTTTTTTTTTTTTTTTTCTCTCTCCTCCTTGCTGCTTTCTGCTCCACTTGTAATAAAGAAAATATCTTGGCTGGTCTTAGCCAGTTGCTTGGCAACCTCAATAGAAAAAAAGAGAACAGAATGTAACCAATCCCGAGACAACCGAAAGATTTTGGTGACATGTGACCTCTCGGAAAAGGGCAGCCTTAAACTGTCCCTTCTGTCCTTTGCTCTGACCATTAGGGTCTCTTGCCCTCCTTCCCCCCCCCCCCCCCCCCGGCTCCTTACACCAATAAATATGGATTAGTGAAATACTTTTTCCCACACTGATGAAAAGCCGGGATTGATCTTTCCACCTCCTTTATCTACCAACCTGACAAGTTTCTAAACAAAATTAAGAGGGAAGAGGGGAAAGGAGCCGTCGCAGGTTGGGCGGCCGGGGATGGATCCTGCGGGGACGGGGGGTCCCCGACGGGGCGCTGGCGCCGGCTGCGCCGGGCTGCTCCGCTCCCCGTGTGCTGGGGAGCCCCTTGCACGGCACCAGCCGGGGAAGAATTAAGTGTAGCTCTTCCAACGCAATAGGGGAAAAAAAAAAATAAAGCTGTGGCCAAGCCCTGCTCTCCCTCTATGCGCGCCGTGTGTCCTGGGGAGACCCGTGCTGCTCCTCACCGCGGAGCCCCAGCGCTCGCGGGCGGTCGGGGAAGTTGTCTGCAAATTTCATCCTGGAAAAAAAAAACCAAAAAAACCCCAAAAAACCCCACAAAGAAAAAAAACAAGCCCACAATATGATGTCATTGGCTTTCTGGCGTAGCCCGCCGGCGCCCCTCCACCTGCCGCCGGGCGCTGCTTGGCCATGAGCCTCAGCACGACCGCGGTGCCCGGGCACCGCCGTGAGCCCCGGCACGCTGCTCGGGCACAGCCCTGCCGGCAGCCCCCGGCTTTCCCAGGCTCCCGGTGCGGTGAATGCCTCTTTCACCAGCAGTTCCCCACTTCCCCAAAAAGCATCACCTTGCCAGCTCCCTTCCTCCCATCAGCTGCCAGGAAAAAAAATTAGGGCAAGGACAGGGAGCGAGAGCAAAACCAATGAACTTGTTTCCAGCTTCTCCTTCGGATCAGCCGTCCAGCACCGGGAGAAAAACATTTCTCCTGCAAAAAACCTCCCCTCTCTGTCTCTGTACAGGCTCCGATCCCGTCGTCACTGGGACACTGGCTGGAGACTTGGTCTCAGCTCGGCAGCAGAAGACACCGTAAGTCGTCTACTTAAACAGTTTTCCCTTGGTTTTGTTT